GCTTAGTTACTTAAGCATTGTTCACCTCAGGCTCTTCTGAAAACTTGGAATAAAAAATACCTACCTTATAAGGTTGCTGGGAAGATTAGAGTTCATACACGTAAAGCACTTAGAATTCAAGCACACAACAACATTCAATAGATGTTAGCTATTATTTCAATCACAGCATTGATCACATAATAAAATTCGTTTGTTTTTATCTACTTTAAAAAAAAATGCTCTCCCAGAGTAAAAGCTACGTGCGAGTAGTAACTCTTCTATTTTGTTCACAGTGCCAGGTTTATATATATTTATTGAGAATAAACAAACCAAGAAAATATTTTCTGAAAATGAATGAATAGCAATACCGTAGGACAGTGTGGTGGCCATGAAAGTGCTCCACTCAGGTCTTTTGCTGTGGGCAGCACAACTGACTGACAGCGGAGCTACTGCTTCTGGATCAATCACATTTGCACAGAGCCAGGCTTTCTAAAGCTGCTTCTAGTCGACGTAGGAGCATGGCAGAGATAGTAGACTGGTTCTGGCAAACTGTAATATTCTTCTAGCTAGGAGATTTGATTGAGGACTGCCCACAGGCAAAGCCAAACTTTGTTGGTGCTGTGTTTCACTTAAACTTTCTACCTAACCATCCTTTCTTGCACTGTGGTCTGTAAGCTCTCCCTGCCTACCCCTGCTACCTCCATAATAAATCTCTTGCACATCAAACCCTAATAGTTGGTGTCTGCTTCTCAGTATATCCAAACTAACACAATCAGTATCTCCAGAAATAAACCTTGAAGTGAGAATTTGTGAGCAAATGATTTATTAAGGTGATCTCAAAAGATCCCAGTAAGGGGTAGAGAGACAGGACAGGAAATGAGAACAAGCCAAACAATGGTATAATTTCAGGCAAAATCTCTCCCTAATCCTGCAGGGAAGCTACACTTTTCATGGCAAGAAGTCATCCACTATTTTATTTCTCACCTTGAATTATGCTTATCTATGTTTTCCAACCAAGCTCACCAGACAGGATTTTACTATGTATACTAGATAATGATATATACAATACTTAGAATTTTATAAAGTAATAATACTGCATATATGACCCCATATTGTACCTGTGACTGGCAGATAATAGGTCCTCAATAAATATGTATTGAATGAATACAATATTAATATAAAGTGCTTGAAAAATGCCACCACTCTATAAAGTACAGCACCTACAGTTTTCACATAATTCCTCTATTTCAACAAAAATACTCACAAAGTGTCATTCCTCTCCCATTATTATTCACCCAATTTCCATTCCTTTCCCTATGAAATAGTCTCATTCTTTTTGCTCAGCTTTTACTCTCAAACATCAGTTCCTTGTCAATGTAATTCTTTCAATCCATTCAAATTACAGAAAGATAGAAAAGGGAAAAGATGACAAAGGCCCAGAACCTGAACCAGTGAAAGCTGCAATCCAATATCCTAATGTGGTTGATTGGTGAGCTTGGAACAAAAAGTTTCTTTTAGCCTGAGCTAGAGGATGAAGACTCAACAAAAGCAGACTAAACTGCCCCATAGTCCACATCTGCTAGATATCACCACTCCAATGGTAACTTGAATCTAACTAAGATCCCACCAAGAAAAAGAAGAGAAATAAAGATTCAAATGCTTGGAACTGATCTAAACCACAGAGCCTAGCATTTCCCAAAGAGGGCATTTCCTAACAGAGAGGCAGTGCCTTGTCCATCTTCACTAGCACAGGAGGGAAAACAAGTGCACAATAAATCTAAGTGAAGAGATTACTTGCGATTGGATGTCTGCCCTTTGACTGCTATTATTACATACTTTTAAAAAACGCACCGTGTGTTATTGATGACAATATGGTCCTTAACCTTATCCACCTGTAAGAAAATAATTTGTGAGACATTAACTAGGCCAATGAGTTAGTAAAGATCCAAGAGTTAAGACCAAATACAGGCTTTGGGACTAAAGCCAGGCTCAAATCCCAAATTAGCTTTCTCTAGCCATGTGACCTAGGAAAGAGGAGCCTGTTTCTTCACTGATATATAACTATGTACAATGTTGTTATAAGAAGTAAAAGTAGTACAAGAAAAGTATCTGTCTCATAGAAGGTTCTGACTAAAAAACTTAACCATTATACAACAGCATAACATAGTGTAAGGAGCATGAAATTTGGAATCAAAACCCATGGGTTGTCTCATTTGGTCATTTACCTGTATCAAGAGCCCCATTGCTTTGAGTCTGCATCCTCATGCATAACAGGCCTAACAGTTGTATTACCCACTGCAAAACACCACAGGATGAAATGAGGTATTATATGTTAAGTGCTGTGGGAACTATAAAGCATTTATTAAAGTGATCTAAATGCTAAAATATTTTTACTGTAATGATTCTTGATAGATGTCTTTTGAAAATGCATTACCTACTACTTCCTGGCTTTTTAAAATAAAATCTTAAGGTCTCAAATCACACTGATATCTGTACTATCTTTGCCTTTTTGAAGATGTCTAGATCAGATTTTTTTGTTGTTCTTTTACTTTGGTAAAAGATACATAAAAGTTAGCATTTTAATCATTTTTAACCATTTTAAGTGTACAATTCAGTGGCTTTCAAATACATTCACATTGTTGTGCAACCATCATCACTATCCAACTCCAGAACTCTTTCATCCCAAGCCAAAATCTGTACGCACTAAACAGTAACACCTCATTACCCCCTGAATTGCTTTTTTCCTATTGTTTCTTCAGTCAGCAGCAAAATAGTTCATTTCTCTCCTTCCCTCCAAATACACTGTCAGCTATAAGTCGGTAGGAACCATAAAAGCCATTCTTAAAACCATAATATTCTTTGGCTTCAAACATTAATACAATCTGGTTCCAACCTTGACTTTTCATCCCTTTTTGTTTAGAACTCAATATTAAAGTAAACAGCTATCTTTCACTATGCTTTTTCCCTTCCACACCTCTGCTCATACCGTTCTCTCCACTGAGAATGTCCTTCCTATTCACCCCTTCCCAGGCCTACCTATCCCTATCCCTTCTTGGTCCAGCTCATATTCTATCTCCTCCATGAAGGCTTCTTGATCACCTCGCATGTTCTCTCTCCTATGATGTCTTACAGCAGCTATTATCTAAAACATTTGTGATAGGAATTATATACATACTGTATTGGTTTCTTTTATGTCAACCAAACTAAGAGCTCCTCAAAACAGGAATTAAGCTTTATCATTTTGTTCACATACATCTTATTCCTTCAATACATATTGCCCATTGTGTGCAATGTACCCAACAAATGTTTGCTAAATAATAGATTTCTAAGTGACTGGGCTTTGACAGATGAGTCAGTGAACTCCAACTTTTATGTTTGAATTTTTGCAAAAAATAATTTTTTCTCTCTCCCAGGTCTTAGTTGTGCTCTAGATAGTTAATACTCATTTGTAATATGATAATAACCCTATTACAGCAGATACCTATTAAATTAGTTAATACCACCCTGGCTGGCGTAGCTCAGTGGATTGAGCACCGGCTGCGAACCAAAGTATCACAGGTTTGATTCCCAGTCAGGGCACATGCCTGGGTTGCAGGCCATGGCCCCCAGCAACCGCACATTGAAAAAAATATTTAAAATTAGTTAATGCCAGTTTGTTTGCCAATTTTGAGATTTATACAATCAAACCTGAATGATTCTGATTTTAAAAAAGTCTGCAGTGTTCCAGGTAGCCATCACTGTTCGCAGTTCCCACTTACAGGCAATGGTATACACAGTTATCTTTTTGTTGTCTTCCTGTATTTTCGTTGCATGCTAATGAAGCTTAGGTAAAGCACAGCTAGCTTCCTTCTTTTCGGTACACGTGGAAGAGAAACAACGAGCAGAAAATTCTTACGGTTGGGTCAATATATAAGTTCTTTCCCTACAGCATAATTTCAACTAAGAAAGTTACTGCTACTTGGCTTCTCATTCGCCAAGTCTCTCCAATGAGAGGAGATAAGGGAGCAAAATGATGAGAAAGCAGGGTTTTGCAAGGGGTGCCGCTAACCTGGACGCCGAGCCACCAATTTTCCTGTCAATGCAGAAAACTGCATTCCTCCTCGGTTTTTCTTTCTGTAGAGACCTATATATGCCAGCAAAGTTAATTGACTCCAAAATATTAATAATAATCCTTAAATTGCCATACAAGCCACACTTGCATTCATTATTTTATTAGAGCTTTTCAGGAGTTCTGTGGCATAAGCATTATTTCTATTTCACAGAAGAGTGAACTACTAATGAGCTAACTACAAGGCCCGTGAACTGCAGGGCTGATGTGTAAATCCGGAGCTAACACTACTCCTTCGGGGAGAATGAATGCGGTCCGGCAGCCCACGGCCACCACTCCCCCAGCCTGGAGCTTTCCCAGATGAACCACCTGCCTTGGATTCTCCGACAGCGGTTACCTTCCCAAGCAGCCCCGTGAGCCGTAACTAGCCCGGCTTCCCCAAACCCGGAAAACCACCGCAGTGCGCCTCTCGGCCTATGCCCGGCTCGGCAGCGCAGAGGTTACAGGGCGTGGCCTCCCATAGGTCGTCACTCCAAGTTACCCACGAACCCGGACTTGTCATCGTGTGGCTGACTCGGGCTTCTAACGCCTACCCGAGGTCGGTCACTGGTGAAGCTCCTAGTACCCACCCGCCCCGCCCCTTGGCTCACAGACCACTCTAGCCGCGTACGGAGCCGGTTATCTCGTTGCTTCCGCCTTGACGTCATCCGTCTGCGCCGCGGCGTGGTGGCGGGCACGCGCAGCCGAGAAGATGTCTCCGACGCCGCCGCTCTTCAGTTTACCCGAAGCGCGGTCGCGGTTTACGGTGAGCGGAAGACGGGAGGGTGCACGCTTGACCCGGCGCTACTTTTTGCCCTCCTCTCCTAGAAATTACTGGAATTTTGTCTTGGGATAAAGAGGGCACAGAGGTGTATACGCCTCAGCGTCGGCTTCTGACCCCGTCGAAGGCTGGGCGGTGGGAAAGGCGATTTACCTGCCTCTGCCGCGTGCCCTCTGCTGTCCGCCTCCGCCATCCCGCCGGCGGGAGTCAGGACTCGGCGTTCTGGGCGCCTGCGTGAGGGGCTCACTTGAACGGTCCAGCTTCCCTGCATTGCGCGCTTAGCCGGACAGGTGTTTCCAGAACCGGAGGGAGCTGCTGACGGGGGAGGGCCGGAGTGATTTTAGCCCTGATGACTGGTTCCTGCCCCGCCTCCTGAATGCCGCCTCTTCATCACACCTTAAACCCTGTAAATCTCACTCCTAAGAGGCCGATTAAAAGATGTTAAGTAGGAAAGGCAAACAGATCAACTTGGGAAGGTTGGCCAGATGTCATCTTATTCTTACTCATTGGGGAAGAGTCGTTTTAGCTTTTGAGAAACACCTTGCAGAGCGTCTTCATGTTAGCTTATATAACTCTTAGCAATGTTAAGTGGGCTAAGTTTTATTACCCCTTGTAGATGAGGTAGAAACTGAGACAACCGCTCCAAAATAGTTGTGATTTACTAGTGTGTTTTTTTACTTCAAACCTATTACGTTGTTCATACACCTTCAGCATGAAGAACCCTGATTTACTGTATTTTTCTTTAGCATTTACGCCAATATTTAAAGTAAAGATTCAACTACTCAGATATTTAACTGTGCCAGTATAGTTATAGTAATGTCAGCGTGAAAATTCTGTGAAAGAAAATTGATTCTTTTTGGTAAGAATTTTTCTTGCATGAGGTTTTTGGGGTTTTTTTTTTTTTTTACCATACAGTATGGAGTCTGTTGATATCTTGTTTATATCATCAGAATTATTTTCTTTCTGTGCATTTTGCTGTAATCTAATATCTGGTGATTTAAGTTTCTGCTAAGAGTAATACTTAGAAATATCTAAGATTATATTGTCTTTGGAAAGGACCCTTTAATTGGAGGTCATCTAGTGTAGTGCTTCTCCAGCTTCAGTTTGTGGTGGCATCACCTGGAGATGTTAAATGTAAATTCTGATTCAGTAGATTTGGAGTGAGGCATGAGTTTTTTGCCTTTCTAACAAGTTCCCAGGTGATGCCACTGCTGCTGCAGAGAGTAAGGATCAATGACAGCCCTCTTATTTAACTGATGAGGAAAATGAAGCCCTAAGGGATTTGCCCAAGATGACATAGCCTGTTCTTGGCAGAGTCAGGAATGTACATTTTCAGTATAAATTTAACTCCTGTGAGGTACTAAGGTGACTTTTGAAGTGTATATGAATTTTCACAGGGTGAATGACTTTGCAATATGTTTGTCTTTCAACTATGACTACTTTCAGACAATCAGCAGATATTTATTCAGTGTGTACTATGTTTGAGGGAGTGTGCTGAGCAACTACCTAAAGGAGGTAGGACTTCAGGTGGGTCCTGAAGAATGGATAGAATTTGTATGAACGGGTGGGAAAAATATCATGAATGTGTGAATACACTAGAGTGAGCTTGGTAGAACATTATGGGCGAGGGGGAATGACTAGACCTTAGTGCAGGGTATGTGTTAGGGGGAGTGGGAAATAAGATTGGATAAATTGAGTGGGATAATATCATGAGGGACCTTGTGAGGAGATACAAAACTTCAAAACCGAAATCTGTAAATAAGGATCCATTGGAGACTTTTTTTAAAGCAGTAGATTTTCATTGATGCAATAGTTAAAGATATGGTAGGAGGGAAATACTTGAATAAGAAGGTCAAGCTAGGAAGCTCTTGCCAGGCTTAAAGTGATGAGGCTGTATCAGTAAGTGGTATTTGAATAACAATTACTGATACAGTGACTGGTAGGAAATTTTTCCCAGTTACAAACATTTTTTAGACATACTATTAATGAGTAACATGTGCTTTTAGTAAATAATAAATAGAAATCTTTCCACTTATTTTCTATTTTTATTTTTCTAGAAGTCTACCAGAGAGGCCCTAAACAACAAAAATATCAAGCCATTGTTGAATACCTTCAGCCAGTTACCTGGCAGGTAAGGCATTGATATTCCTGAAATATGCTTGCCCGAATGCTCATACTTACCCTGAACTATTTAAAAAATGCAGTTGTCTTTTGTTTTTAATAGTGAAAATGAAAAAAAATGTACCCTTGACCAAGCTTTCAGAGGTGTTCTAGAAGAAGAAATTGTAAGTATACTTTTATTTATTGGGAAATTAAGAAATTGATATAATTTTAAATTACGTTTATTCTCAAAATGAACATTTAAATATGATTACATTTTCTAACGTGAGCTTGCTACTTTGTGAAAGCTGACTTGATCATAGTATAGAAGTTATGTAATGATTAAGGATTTTGACAGCACAGGTGCAACTTCAAGTGTTTGGTTTAATAAATGAAGAGAGCTCTCTCCAAGTGAATAGTATGAGAAAAGTTGATACAAGGTCTTCCTGAGCAAGAACTAGAGTTTGGTGTGGGCCCTCTCACATTCAAGTCCAGTCCGAGGATGTGCAGCATGGGAACTGGGGTTCCATACTGTCATTTTCTTATGGTATCCTTCTCATTAACATAAAAAAATAGCATCTATTTAACTTCAGCAGACAAATTTAATGTGAGAGTAATTTCTCACACTCTAAGTGTGAGAAATCTGAATTTATTTAACATTAGTGGGGCACTCGAATGAAAGGAAAAGTTTCAACAGTTTATTCTTGGTTAAGTGAAGGTTGGGTCCCAAGGAGGTAGATCTTATGTCTTTGGTGATAATGAAGGATGATGAATTTGTGAGGCAAAAACAAATGAGAATAGCTATATGTAAAGGCCTTAGTATGACTGTATTTGGCTGCCTTCTTTTGGGCAATTCTGCATCAAAATTCATTTTTTTTTCCTTTTCTTCACACCTACTCACTTAACCTGTGGTGAGGCATCAGGCAAGTTACTTTTCTGGGCCTCAGTTTCATTTGTAAGAAGACAAATAACCATCCTCTCAAGGTTGTTGTGTAAAACAACAGTTAATAAATGCTGGCTTTTATGATGGAATGGAACCAAGGCACTACTTCCCTTCTATTAAAACCCTCCCTCAGACATGTTGAAGCAGCAGTACAGTTCATTCCCCGGGCCTTGCCTTTGCCCTGTCCGTTGAGATTTGGCCTTGGTATTTCTGTATTTGACTAGCTTACAGCCTTAATCATGCTAATGTAACTATTTTTCTAAGACCATTAGATTTTAAGTGAATCACCTGCTTATTATTTACTTGATATACTTCTGTAATTAGTAAGTATTATCCAGTTTTTGCATTTTCATGTTAAAAGCAATTTTATCTTCTGTGAGAAATATCTTTATTCCATTTTTGTGATAATCAGTTTAATGTCAGGGTATTTCTATTGTTGTCAAGTTAGTCTGAACTCTGGCTACTAAATTAAATTGTTTTCTTCTCTGTTGGTAGATAAATCATTCATCATGTGAAAACGTTTTAGCTATTATTTCTCTTGCTATTGGGGGAGTAACGGAAGGTAAGTATGGGTTATTATTAATTTTTTTAAGTAATCTTGGACATGATATGCTTTACTTAAAATTTATTCTCCTTGTACCTTTCTTCCTATTTGATTTTGTTCATTTTTCAAGTTCTGCCTACCCTTTGCCAACAAGTTGTCCCAATTAAATTAGCTCACATTTATTTCTCATCTTTAATATACAGCACACAATTTAGCACTTTCTTTGTTCTCCAGTTGTTTCTTTTATTCAGTAAACATTTATTGAGCATCTACTATGTGTCTGGTACTAAGCTAAAACTTGGAGATTTGTTGGTCAGTAAAACATTTTTTGCCTGTGAGGAGCCTAGTGGCTAATGGAGGAAAACAGACATGTAAATGTCTTAGTAGGTGTAATTACTACAGGCGAAGTGGGAATGCAATGTGGTTGAAGCACTCTGAATTTCAGTTTCCAAAGGAATCAGGAAGGTCTTAGAAAGGATGCTAGGACGTGAAGGATGATGAATTTGTGAGGCAGAAACAAATGAGAATAGCTATATGTAAAGGCCAAATTCAGCATAGCTAAAGAACAATGCCTCAGAGGAGGAAAATGGTAAGGAAAGACATGGGAAGGGATAGATTAGTGTCATTTCTAACAGGCTTTGGATACCATGTTAAAGAGGAGCTATAGAAGAAGAGTTGTACTGGGAGAGACTGCTGGCAGGAAAAAACTAGGTAGGGGACATTTGAAATGAGACAGTGGCGGGGGGATAGTTTCGAGAGATTTTAAAAAGGTACAGCAAGTGCCCAGTGCCTAACATATAGTAGGAACTGATTAAATATTTCCAGAAAGAAGCAATGCAGAAATAGCTCATTAGCACTCTTCTTTAATTTGGTTAAAATACCCATTTAATTAAAGGAAATACTTATATGAAAAGCACCTTTTAATCTGTAAAGCATTATTCACATATTGTTTTGGTATTTATTCCTACAAAAATTGGAATATACAAGATAAAAATAGTCTTCCAATATAAGCTATTTTGTGAACTTGGCTTGATTAATAATTTCTGACTTTACATTTTAAACTTTTATATAAAATGCATATTCATTCAGCATATTTAAATGACTTCTACAGTGGAGTGTTCCTCACTTAGTTCCTGTCAGTTTGCAGCATCTGCTTAACATATCACTGATTACATTGATATGTTACTCTTGTAGACTAGTAATGTTTTTCACACTTGAAGTTATATACAGTCTATAATTAGAACTTTTACTTTATTTGAGAAAGATGAGGATGTAACATTTTAGTTAAACTGTAAATAAATACATAAATGCTTTTTTATTTTATTTTGATGAGAAACTCCTCCTTGAAAGAGATTATAGTATCATTTATATATGTGACATGTTTTCAAATTGTCCATAACTATTTTGTTAAATTCAATACAGCAGATATTTATTGAGCTTCTGTTCAGTGTCAGACACTTGACTGGTTAAAACATGCAAAAATGTTTACCCTTAGAAAGCTCACAGTACACATGGCAAAGATAAACAGGATATAATAAGTGCTATAGTTTATGTACAGTGTGCTTAATAGATGAGGTAGACTGTTCAAAGGTGAAAGGGATTTTTTTAGATATGCTGTGTACTTTATGCTTCCAAAGATTAAGTAGGAATTTACCCCATGATAAAGAGGAGGAGGGCTATTTAATCAGGGAAGTGTGAACATAGCAAGGTGTTTGAGAGCTGAGAAGCATGAACATAACAATGTATTTGGGAACTGAAAAGAGGGTATCTGTGGCCAAGGTTAATATGAA